TTGTAGCCCCCACATGAGAAAAAAGCCAAAAATAACTACATTTAGAAGAAAGAAAAATTGGTGACCTTTGTGCTAAACAGCACAGTGCAGTTAGATAAAAATTTGTCGGCCGAACGCGCGGTGGCTCACGCCTGTAATCCAAGCACTTTGGGAGGCCGAGGCGGGCAGATCACCTGAAGTCAGGAGTTTGTGACCAGCCTGACCGATATGGAGAAACCCCATTTCTACTAAAAATACAAAAATTAGCCGGGCGTGGTGTCACATGCCTGTAATCCCAGCTACTTGGTAGGCTGAGGCAGGAGAGTCGCTTGAACCCAGGAGGCGGAAGTTGCGGTCAGTCGAGAAGGTGCCATTGCACCTCAGTCTGGGCAACAAGAGCAAAACTGCATCTCAAAAAAAAAAAAAAAAAAAAGAAAAGAAAAGAAACCCATGCCCTGATTCTCCCTCAGGAAAGAAAAAAGAGTGGAATGTGTACCCAAAGTTCTGACTTACAGAGTTATCCTGGGGTTATCCAAAGACTGGATATTGCTTCCTTTAATATGTAGTGTTCAGGAGAACTGAGATACAGTTAAAATGACAGTTTAGGTCAACTGACAATAAAGATGAATGCTTGTTACAACAGAGAGACTGTAGTGCATTTAACAGTGACCAAAGGAAGAAGACTACAGGCTCCTAGAAGGTAACAAAGGTAAACCTTATTAACAAGAAAATACATACACTAGTACACAGAAGACACATTTTGACAACAGATTGCAGAAGCTCCCAGAATGACTAGTATGGCTGAATGTTGTCAATTTTACCCTGTACAAAGCTATTCCATAAAGGATAAAATAGGTAGTGGTTTCTTAATTGACCAAAACCTCCACAGAACCACAATACATAAAAGTAACCAGAAAATATAGCCTAATCAAAGGAGCAAAATATATACCCAAATGAACCTAAAGAAGTGGAAATTTATGAATTATTTTTTAAATTTAAAATCATTTTCCTGTTTTTAATTTTACTTTATAGACAGGGTCTTACTCTATCTCCTGGGCCAGAGTGCAGTGGTGCAAACATAGCTCACTATAACCTCACATTTCTGTAGTCAAGCAGTCATGCCACCTCTGTCTCCTAAGTACATATAACTATATTTGTGCACACTACCACACCTGTATAGTTTTTGTTTTTTTTTTTTTTAATGTACAAACAGAATGTTGCTACATTGCCTAGGCTGGTCCTAAACTCTTGGTCTCAAGCAGTCCTACTGCCTCAGTCTCATAAAGTGCTGGCATAAGCCACCACACCTGGAATTTTTTTTCTCTTTTAAGAAATAAGAACTTTAAACCAACAACAGTAAAATAATACAAAGAAAGGTTCTGCATAATGATAAAAGTGTTTTTTCAACAAGAAGACTTAACTATCCTAAACGTAGATGCATCCAACATTGGGGCACATAGATTTATAAAACAAGTACTTCTAGGCCTACTAAGACTTAAGTAGCCACACAATAACAGTAGAAGAATGTAACCCCCTACTAACAGTGTTGGACAGATGATCTAGGCAGAAACCTAACAAAGAAATTCTGGAGTTTGATTTGACACTTGATCAATTGGAACTAATAGACATTCATAGTATACACACACACCATCTAAGTAATATAACTTCTTCTCATCTGCTCACAGAATATACTCTAAAACTGACCATATGCTAGCCATAAAGCAATTCTCAATATATTTTAAAAAACTGAAATCCTGTCAACCATACTCTCAGGCCGAAATGGAACAAAGATAAAAATCAATACCAAGATTATCCAACAAAACCACAGAATGAGATTGAAATTGAACAACTTGCTCCTGAATGAATTTTGGGTAAACAATAAAATTGAGGCAGAAATTAAATTTTTTTTTGAAATAACGGAAGAGAAACTATATACCAAAATCTCTGGGATGTAGCAAAAGCACCATTAAGAGGAAAGTTTATAGTGCTAAATGCCTGCATCAAGAAATTTGGAAAAATCTCAAACTAACAACTTGACATCACACTTAGAGAAACTAGGAAAATAAGAACGAATTAACCCCAAAGCTAGCAGAATGGGAAAAATATTCACAAACTATAAATCTGACAAATCTAACATTGAGAATCTATAAGAAACTTAAACAATTCACAAACAAAAAATAACCCCATGAAAAAGTGGGCATTAACAGACACTATTCAAAAGAATCCATACAAGTGGCCAAATAACATCAAAAAAGGCTTATCATTACTAGCTATCAAAGAAATGAAAATCAAAACCACAGTAAAACACCATCTTACACCAGTCAGAATGGCTTTTATTAAAAAGTAAAGGAATAACATGTTGATGAGGTTTCCGAAGGGGGAAAAAAAAACACTTATACACCCTTGATAGGAATAGAAATTAGTTCAGCCACGATGGAGAGCAGCTTGGAGACTTTCCAACTAAGAGTTGAACTATATTTCAACCCAGCAATTTCACCACTGGGTATATGCTTAAAAGAAAATAAATTATTCTACCAGCATAGCACATGCACTTGTATGTTCATCACTGCACTATTCATAATAGGAAAGACATAAATCAACCTAGGTGCCTATTAACGGTGAATTGAATAAAAAAAAGTGGCACATATACACCATGAAATACTGCTTTGCCATAAAGAAACCCAAAATTTTGTCTTTTGCAGCAGGATAAATGCAAATAGTCTCTTATTCTATGCAAATTAATGCAGAAATGCAAAATGAAAATACTGCATATTTTTACTTGTAAGTGGAAAATAAACACTGATTACACATGGACATAAACATAAAAATAATTGACAACTTGTAGAGAGTGGAGAGAGGAAGGCGGCCAAGAAGTGAAAAACTGCCTATTTGGTACTCTGTTCACTGCCTGCATGATGGAATCATTCATACTTCCAATCTCAGCATTATACAATATACCCATGTAACAAACCTGCATAGGTACCTCTTTGAAATTATAAAAAGAGGTCTTACTCTCTCGCCCAGACAGAAATACAATGCCATGATTATAGCTCACTGCAGCCTCAAATTCCTGGGGAAGTCAAGCAGTCCTCTTAGTTCAGACTCCAAGTTCCAGGGACTACAGAAATATTCCATCATGCTTAATTTGTAAAAATATTTTTCACATACAGTTTCTCACAATATTGCTTAGGGTGATCTCAAACTCCTGGGCTTAAGTAATTGATATGGTTTGGCTCTGTGTCCCCAGCCAAATCTCACCTTGAATTGTAATAACCCCCACACGTCATGACAGGGATCCGCTGGGAGATAATTGAATCATGGGGGTGGGATTTTCCTATGCTGTTCTCATGATAGCAAATAAGTCTCACGAGACCTGGTGATTTTATAAATGGAAGTTCTCCTGTACAAGCTCTTGCCTGCTGCCATAATTGTGAGGTCTCCTAGCCATGTGAAACTGTGAGGCCATTAAGTATTTTTTCTTTATAAATTACTTAGTCTCAGGTATGTCTTTATTAGCAGCATGAGAATAGACTAATACTGTAATCCTCTTGCCTTTCAAAGTAGCTGAAATTACAGGTACATGCCATTGTGCCTGGCTAAAACACCTAGCTTAAACATGCTCAGTCAGCTAAAGTAGAACATAGAAAACTAAACAGAAAAAGAAAACAATGCATGAAGATAATGAGATTATCAATAAAGAGATTAAAACTATAAAATGGAAACACAAAGTGTGGAGCTGAAAAGTAAAATAACTGAATATAAAGATTCACTAGAGGGTTCATCAGCAGTTTTCATCTAGCAGGAAAAAAATCCAGTAAGCTTGATAACAAGTCATTTGAAATTACAGGTTGAGGAGGGTAAAAATAATTTTAAAAAAATCAAGAGAGCCTAAGGTACTTATGGGATACCATCAAGACGGCCAATAGACTCATAATGGAAATTCTAAAATAAAAAGAGACAAAACAGAGCAGAAAAGTTATTTCCAGAAACAAACAGTGGTTGAGAACTCTTAAAATTTGAGGGAGAAAATGACCTAAAATTTACTGAAGCTTTATCAACTCTAACTAGTAGCAACACAGAAAGGCCCACAAGAAGACACATTATAGGCAAAGATTCGAATGTTACAAACAGAGAATCTTGAAGTCAGCAAGAAAAAAGCAACTTAGCATGTACAAGGCTACTCCTATATGATGACCAGCAGATGTTTCAGCAAAAATATTTACAGGCAAGAGGTTATAGGATGATATACTCAAAATGCTGAAAAAATGGCAAGCCTCAACTAAGAACACTATGTCTGCCAAAACTCTCCTTTCAAATGAATTTAAAAAACAAAGAATATTTGACAAAAGCTGTATAAATTTATATCCACTAGGCCTGTCGTAAAAAAATGCTAAGAAGTCAGTTATTCACATTTAAAAATAAAATAATAATGAAAGCAACATAAAATTATGTAAAATATAAAGTTTTCTAGTAGAGATAATTATATACACAAATATAAGTATTTTGTTTTTGTAATGAAGGTGCACAGAATACTTTTAATTCTGCTATAGATTTGAGGAAATAAACACTTTAAAATGACTATAAATCTGTGCCATTAGATTCACAATACAAAATGACATAATTTGTGACATCAATAAAACACAATGGAGAGTCATATAAAGGCAATTTTGTTGTTGTTGTTACTATAGATATTAGTAACAATAAAGAAAATACCTATAGGACTTAGGAGTTTGAGACTATCCCTGGGCAACATGGCAAAACCCTGTCTCTATGAAAAATAACAAACATTAGCCAGGAGTGGTGGTGAATATCTGTGATCCCAGCTACGCAGAAGGCTGAGGTGGAGGATTGCTTGAGTTGAGCCTGACAGGCAGAGGTTGCAGTGAGCAGAGATTGTGCCACTGCACTCCAGTCTGGGTGACAGAACAAGATCCTGTCTTAAAAAAAAAATAAGAAGAAAGAAAAGAAGGAAAGAAAGAAAGAAGAAAGAAAGGAAAGAAAGAAAGAAATAAAAGAAAGAAAGAGAGAAAGAGAGAGAGAGGAAGGAAAAAATACCTATAGTACACACACACACACACACACACACACACACACACACACAGGATAGTGAGAAAGGAATTAAAACATGTCACTACAAAAATCTATAATACACTAAGAAAGATAGCAAGAGAGAAAAACAGGAACAAAATAGCTACAGAACCTAAAACAAAAAAGAAACAAAATGCAATAGGAACTCATTCCCTTTTAGTAATTATATATAAATAAATTGCCAATCAAAAACATATTTTGACTAAATAAGTTCAAGAAACAAAATCCAACTTTATGCTCCCTAGAAATGACCAAATTACAATCTGGAACACATACGGCCTGTATATAAAAACAATTTAAAAATATCAGACGTGAAGTCAAATACTGTCATTTTTGACAAAATACATGTTATATCAAAAACTTCCACAAAATACAAGAAGAAAAGACCTTATATAATAATAAATGGGTCTACTGACAGGGAAGCAGTAACAAGTATTAACATATGTGCCTAACATCACAGTTCCCAAATATATGAAGTAACATTTTACAGAATTGAAACACAAAGTAGCCAGCATCTGGTAACAGTAGATGACTTTTATTTCTGACTTTTAATAATGTAAATTTAAAAAAACACTAGACATAAGATCTAGTTTTGAAACTAAATGATTTGAAATTAAATACCATCATTTAAATACAGACCAAAAAAACATAAATTTTAATGATTCCTTTCTGTCTACAGTGAGCTTAAAATTACAACCAAAATTTTAATAAATATGTGGCACCTACAAGAAATATTCACAGCTTACATAATGTGTACATTTGAGCGATTTATTTTAGAACTTTTGAATCTACAAATCACAAACTTGACATTCATTTCAGAAAGCAAAACGTAAAGGAGAGTAACATAAGCAAGATGACAGAATGGGAGGTCCTGTATGCACATCTCCCACAACATAATGTGGCAGCCATGGCAAACAAAAGTGCATGGAAGCCTTGGGATCCAGGTCACGGTTTATGACACCCAGCTGGAGGCAAAGACCAAGGAAGACATCATGAGAGAAGATGCTTTTGACCAAGTGGCAGGCTTGCCTATCATAGTCCCAGCTTCAAAACAGAATACTGCCATATCTCACTTTAGACTTGGCTATAACCCATTGGGCCTTGGTCCTGTCACTGCAACCATCTGCCAAAAACCTGGGAGAATTCATACTCACCTGAGACTCAGGTGACAGGCCTGCAGAACTTGATTGTCTCTGTAATCTCTGAATCAGTCAAAACCCTCCTTCTTTACTTCTCAGCCATGGTCTGGAAGAAATCCTCACATTGATAAAATGAAATGCTAACTAACAATATGAAAAATACTAAACTATAAATGTCACTTAAAATGATCACTCCATAGTGAAATTTAGAATACTCTAAATTGTTATTATCTTAAACTAGACTGTTAAAATACAAGTTGTTGTATATAAGTCTCATGATAATCACTAGGAAAACAAACTGTAGTAAATAAAAAGAAAAAAAAAGAGAAAGTAATTAAAACATATAAAAACAATAAAAATTAAATATCACGTATGGTGGTTCCTGCTTATAATTCCAACACTTTGGGAAGCCAAGGTAGAAGAATCATAAACTCCAGTGTTTGAAACCAACCTGAGCAACGTAAGAAAACCTTATCTCTACAAAAAAAAAAAAAAAAAAAAATTAGCTGGGTGTTGTGGTACATCTGTAGTCCAAGCTACTTAGGTGGCTAAGGTGGGAGGATTGCTTGAGCCCAGGAGGTTGAGGCTACGGTGAGCTGTGATATGCCACAGCACTTCAGTCTGAGCAAGAAAGCATAACCCCATCTCAACAACATTAACAAAACCACAGGAAAGACAGAACAAGAAAAAAAAGAAGCCAATTTAAAGTGGACAGAGAACTACAAACTTATAATAGCAACTGCTTACCTATCACTACTTTACATTTAAGAGATTAAATTATCTAATAAACAGATACTGCTATAGACCGGATGTCATCTCCAAAATTTAGGATAAAATTTCATAGCCAATGTGATAGGATTAAGAGATGAGAACTTTAAGAATTAATTAGGCTACAAGCACTCTGCCCTCATGAATGGATTAATGTTCTTATAATGGGAATGGGTTAATTATAACAAGAATGGGTCTGTTATTTAAAAAAAAAAAAAGTGTCTCTCTTAGATCTTTGGCTATGTTATTCTCCAGCAACAAGACCTTCAACACATGTCAGTGTCATGTTTTTTTTACCTTCCCAGCCTCCCAAATCTTGAGTCAAATAAACTTCTCTTCTTCATCAACAGCAGTCTGTGCTGTTCTGGTACAGCAGCACAAAAGATACTAAGACAGAGTGGTTAAATGAATTTTTTAAAGCCCATAATACGCTGCTTCCAGGAGACTCACTTTTGAATTAAGAACACAGGCTAAAACTCAAAGTATAGAAAATGGTATTCCATGCAAATAAACAAAGGAATGCAATGGTAGTTATGCTTAGACAAATTAGACTTCCTAGCAACATCTGTCACAAGAGTGAAGTGAATTCACCATATAATAAAATAGAAGTTAATTTGTCAAGAGAATATAGCTATATATATTTATGCACCCAAAAGTGGGACTTCTAAATATAAAAAGCAAACATTGACAGAACTGTAGGGAGAAGTAGAAAGAAATCCAATAATAGAAAAGTTTAATGTAATGTACAGTAAAGGACAAATAGTTGATAGCGTTGTAAATTGGAGAGGGGAAGCTGACCTCATTTGTTGCATTTGAGAATGCAGGAAAGAAAGTGGAAACTTTTCATTTTACTGCAGGCCTGAGTTAAACTTGGAAACAGGGTAGTCTATTAGAGGTCCCACTTGCCATACATTAGAAAAACACAAGGGAAAACCAGTCCTCCCCTGGAGTGTAAAAATAATTAAAGAGCAGAAAATTGGACTAAAGTGGCTCTAATGCTCTGCGTTCATAGGTTTAAAAAAATCTGAAACCTAACTCAAATGCATTTCTTATAATTCACCATCTTAGGCTGAAACAAATTTCAGACTTAACCAATCATAAACCTGCAACTAACCTCTGATTACATAACCAGGAAATTTTCATCTGGATACTTCAAATAAGGTGATTGCATAACTGCAACCAATTCTTGAACTTGGGTTGTTTTCTCATGCACCTTATAAAAGCCGTTTCTTCATGCCCCTCGGGTGGACCACAAATCATGGTTGAGTGCTTTCCATTTCACCAATCACTGTTTACTCAAACTGGTTAACGTTTTAACACGGACTCCCTTCAATGTTTAACAGGAGAGACTGGGGACCCAAAGGGCCGCAGAGCAGGGAGCCACACAGAAACCGGACCGGATGGGACAGGGCAAGATGCGGGGGTCCCCGCTGCTGGCCCAGCCGTCATCTTGCGGTGGGGGGCGCTGAGGGCCAAGCTGCCCCCGAGACTCGGAGCTGACCATGGGGAGGCCGGTCCTGCCGATTTCACAACCGGCTCTCCCCTCGCGGGATGCCCAACCCCACAAACTCACCATTTCCCAGGTTCCAGGATGTCCTGGCGTCTCATCTATGCCTTCCCAAAGACTTGCAGATCACAGGGCAATAGAGGTGGTGAGGGCGCCGCCGGGGGGCTCCAGAGGTGGAAGATGGAGAACACCGGAGGCGTAGCTCAGGCTCCGGCGGGAGCGACACCAAGGCTCCGCCAAAGCCGGAAGCCACGCCCTCCTCTCCTCTCCAACCGCGCCCCCGATTGGGCGGTTCCCACCCCAGCACCACTGATCGGATAAAGCTCAGGGAGCCACCCCACCGCCCCACCACCTCCCCCACTCCCACTCCCCCTCAGCGTTAGTGCATTTTCTTTTTGACTTTAAGTTCTGGGATACACGTACAGAACATGTAGGTTTGTTACATAGGTTTACATGTGCCATGGTGGTTTGCCGAACCTATCAACCTGCCATCTAGCTTTTAAGCCCTGCATGCATTAGGTATTTGTCCTAATGCTCTCCTTCGCCTTTTCCCCCACCCTCTGACAGTCCCAGGTCTGTGATGTTCCCCTCCCTGTGTGTATGTGTTCTCATTGTGCAACTCCGTCTTATGAGTGAGAACATGTGGTGTTTGGTTTTCTTTTCCTGTGTTAGTTTGCTGAGGATGATGGTTTCCAGCTTTATCCACATCCCTGCGAAGGACATGAACTCATTCTCTTTTATGACTGCATAGTATTCTGTGGTGTATATGTGCCACATTTTCTTTATCAAGTCTATCATTGATGGACATTTGGGTTGGTTCCAAGTCTTTGCTGTTGTAAACAGTGTCACAATGAACATACCTGTGCATGTGTCTTTATAGTAGAATGATTCATATTTTTTGGGTATATACCCAGTAATAGGATTGCTGGGTCACATGGTGCTTCTGGTTCTAGATCCTTGATAAATTGCCACACTGTCTTTCATAATGGTTTAACTAATTTACACCCCCACCAACAGTGTAAAAGCATTTCTATTTCTCCACAGCCTCACCAGCATCTCTTGTTTCCTGACTTTTTAATAACTGTCATTCTAACTGGCTTGAGACAGTATCTCATCGTAGTTTTTATTTGCATTTCTCTAATGACCGGTGACTATAAACTTTTTTTCATGTTTGTTGGCCACATAAACTTTTTTTTTTTTTTTTTTGAGATGAAGTCTTGTTCTTTCATCCAGGCTGGGGTGCAGTGGCAGGATCACTGCAACCTCTGCCTCCCAGGTTCAAGCAATTCTCTTGCCTCAGCCTCCCAAGTAGCTGGAATTACAGGCCCCCACCATTACACCCGACTAATTTTTTGTATTTTTTGTAGAAACGGGATTTCACCACATTGGCCAGACTGGTCTCAAACTTCTGACCTCATGATTCACATGCCTTAGCCTCCCAAGGTGCTGGGATTACAGGCATAAGCCTCCATGCCCTGCCAAATATCTTCTTTTGAAAAGAGTCTGGTCATATCCTTTGCCCACTTTTTGATGGTGTTTTTCTTGTAACTTAGTTTAAGTTGCTTGTGGATTCTGCATATTAGACCTTTGTCAGTTGGATAGACTGCAAAATTTTCTCCCTTTCTGTAGGTTGCCTGTTCACTCTGATAATAGCTTCTTTTACTGTAAAAGTTCTTTAGTTTAATTAGATCTCATTTGTCAATTTTGGCTTTTGTTGCAATTGCTTTTGGTGTTTTAGTCATGAAGTCTTTGCCCATGCCTACAACTTGAATGGTATTGCCTAGGTTTTCTTTTAGGATTTTTATGGTTTTGAGTTTTACATTTAAGACTTTAATCCATCTTGACTTAATATTTGTACAACGTGTAAGAAAAGGGTCCAGTTTCTGTTTTCTGCATATATCTAGCAAGTTTTCTCAGCACCATTTGTTAAATAGGGAATCCTTTCCCCATTGCTTGTTTTTGTCAGGTTTGTTAAAGATCTGAGGTTGTAGATTTGTGGTGTTATTTCTGAGGTCTCTTTTCTGTCCCATTGATCTATATATCTGTTTTGGTCCTAGTACCAAGCTGTTTTGGTTACTGTAGCCTTGTAGCATAGTTTGAAGTCAAGTAACATCATGCCTCAAGCTTTGTTGTTTTTGCTGAACATGGTCTTGGGGGAACAGAGAAACAGGCTCACATAGATGGGGTCACATGCCCAGAGTATCACAGCTAATTAAGAAGTGAGTTGAGACTTGAAATACACTTGCTCTTTCCCATATCTGAGTCTGTTGTATAATGCATCTTAACAGCTATTTAAGGGTAGTAAGTAAAAATTTGGAAACCTTTTAAACAACTTTTTAAGCATTTTGATAATGCAAGAAAGACCCTCATCTCATCCCTGAGCCCCTCTCACCATGCTGCACCCCACTGCTGACCATAGCATGGGGTGGCCATTAGAAATGGGGCAGGCAGTGGGGGCTGGGAATAAATAAACAAGAATTATATTGTCCAAATTTGCTCATCTTAGAAAGGCTCCTCAACCATTCTGTGTGAAGTGGCTATCCCAGGGTAACTGTGCCCTGACTGTGCTGCATCTCAGTCTGACTTCTCACTAGATTACTCTCATTAACGGGGTTATTTCTCTGTTTGAAAATGGCCAACTGTCCTCTGCATGACTCCTGATTCGATTTGCTAGTTTAGTGAGAAAATATTTGGGCCACATCAGAATACCTTATTCTCAGCTGGAGGATATATAGAAATTCCTTAATATCTAACTGTTTTCTCAATAACCATTATATTTAAGTGATGGCTTGGAGGGCAGGGAGGGACACAGATGACACAATTTTAGAAGTTTAATTTGGTTAGGTCCCAGGACCAGTCTGGGCAACATAAGTAGGCTTAGTCTCTACAAAAAATTTTTAAAATTGGCTGGGTGTAGCATTGCAAGCCTGTAGTCCCAGCTGCTTGAGAGGCTAAGGTGAAAGGACCCCTTGAGCCTAAGAGTTTGGGGCTGCAGTGACCCATGATTTGGCCACTGCACTACAGCCTTGGTGACAGAGTGAAACCTGTATGTGTTGCATATGTGTATGTGTGTGTGTGTGTGTGCATATATATATGTATATGTATGTATTCTGCATATATATATATGTACAATATGTACATTTTAAAAAATTCAAGCACAGAAGAAAAGTAAAAGCCTATGGTGGGGGATGTGGAGAAAGGTGAATTTGGCTCCAGCAACTCAGTGAAACTTGATTTTCCATTTTAAAGAATTGCCCGTCCACACTGAAACCATAGGCTAGCACATGCCAGTTCTCACACTACACCTTCTGGGATACCACTATGTACCCTTTTTAAAAAATAAAATAAAGTCTTTTACCTAAAAGAAGGAGAGGAGGAAAGGAGAGTTTCACATCTAAAGGCTTCATTTTCTTTATCAGAAATCACCCACTTGTTATTTGAGTTGTCCAAAGGTGACTGACAGCACTAATACCCTTAATGAATCAACTAGGAAAAATGGGCCTCTCAAGTGATGTGGAGGCACAATGGTTACTAAACCCAATCCATTGTCAGCTTTGCATGGTGCCCTCATCTCAAGAAGTGGTGTTAGCCCTGTGAGCCATGTTCACTGGACAAGGCCAGAGGAAAGAATATTTAATACAACACAACCATGAAGCTGCAAATCAAACTGGTGGCAAAGGCATGCATGAGGCTTTAATGGCTGAGACACTGGTGGCTACCCTGGGGTGTCACTTAAAACTTTGAGGTGACGGACCTCTTTTTTCCAACTGGCTCAGAAAAACTACCAAACATTAGAATTGGAATTTGTTTTTCTTTTCAGAATTTCTGAGACACAGAGGACTCTCTAAGCACTCCAAAAGAGATTCAGCTATGCATGCGGCTGAGGACCTGCCTCCTCTGCAGAGGGATGGCTGAGCAGCAGCCAGCAGCTGCAATAGCTTTAAACTCCTCCTCTCATAGGGACAGGCCACCCCCCACACACACCCTTACTTCAGAGGCTCTGTCCCTCTAGTGTACCTGGGGGACTGCCTTCCTCCCATCTCATCAGCTCTCCACGAGAGTCCAGCTCACTCTAAAACCTACCCTAGGATGGCGAGTTATAGACTCTCCTCCATTCTCCAAGCACAGTGTGATTTCTGGAGAGTGCTGCCCAATCCTCTTACCTCAACTGACATGACAAGGACAGGTGCACAGGCAGTTAGATGTTCAGTGACCTAACAGGTCCAGCAAGCGCAGGGCCTAGCCCCACAGCGTGGCAGCTCTCCTCCACCTGACCTTCACACCAGCCTTTTCTCTTCTGTCACCTATGTCAGGTGATGTTCACCTGTGCCACACTCACAAACATAGTAAGTGGCAGGCGGGTAAACCCTAGCTGAATGCCTGTGACTCCACTCTCTTACCTCCCACTAAAGTGATATTATAAGCATGAACTTACATCTGATCTAATTTATGCATATTCTTTTTTCAAAACATTTCTGACAGCCCTCACAATCAAATGAGGCTGGGTTACAGAACACATGGGCGAGGCTGGGGTAACAGGTTTCACTTAGTTTATTCCACGTGAAACAAAGATATGATGGTTTAAAAACAAGAAAAAAAATATTTATTAGTTGTGGGGTTCCTACACTTGCTAGCTCATGCTCATGTCCTTTGAAACAAGGTATTTGAACAGACCATATTCATAAGCAGCTCTTTGCAAAGCCCCAGGCAAAAGCCCTAGTCAGACACAGCCCCCTCCTCTTCCATGTCTGGCTCTGAGAGGAGACAAGGGAAGGATCACCTGGGTGGGGGCAACAGGGTGCAGCCGGGGGCCATAGGATTCCCAAACTCCCCAGAGCTAGTTTCTGTAGAAGAAGCTGTGTGGCAAGGACCAGGCAGGGAGCTGGGCTCCACACAGAGTTGACAACTACTCCTGTATCTCTAAATTTCCCCCAGGATCCATTATCCAGCCTGCTTTCCCCTAGGCTCTTCACTCACCCTACCTGCACTGTGTGTTAGGCAGCTCAGGTTAAAATGGGAGAAAAATACTTTCAGATTGTAGGCTCCGAGTATTCCCATCTGGGGTGCAGGGAGTAGGGAGGCAAGTCAGGGCCTGTGGCGATGCTTTTTGCTGTGCCTGAAGGCAGGCAGGCCAATGCTGGGAACACCACTGCTGATTCCCTCCCCCTCACCCGAAGCTAGCTAGAACAAGGCCAGGCCTATCACAGTTAGTAAGACCGCTGAAGCTCTC